ATATAATGTCATATTTTAACGAATAACATGTTCTTAGCTATGGGTCTACTTACAACCCCTATTCCTCCTACCCTCCAACAAGATGGTTCGCGTCGCAAAGGTGATACAAATAGTGATCGTTTCGCACCAGCACTGAGAACATGCATGAGTGAAAGAGAAGTATTTATGAACTAGTCTTCGTGGTGCTGACTCGGATACTGAGTGTTGTGAGCCACAAGACTTCTTTCCCCCATTCCATACCCTTTTATGCTTCTTCTCTTCTAACCAACATTCATGCACAATAATTTTGTAAAGTATGTAGTTCCAGTCCCTTTTATGCTTCTTCTCTTCATATTTATAAATTTTCATTCCAATGTTCGTCAAATTCTAAAATTTTCAATTTAATTTGATAAGTTATCGTCGAAATATGAACTTTCCCTTCCAACTACATCTATTTGTTTAAGATAGAATGAAAGTCTGAACAAGTTTATGAAATATTTTAATTCTACTACAAAAAATATATTCTAATTTAAGATTGGATTAACTTATTTATGACTGGAAATCCTTACTTAGAATGACAGTCCAATTAAAATATTTCATGAACTCATCCAGACTTTCAATCCATCTCTAGCATGCAGTCTAAATAAGAAGGGATACCCCATTCTTGGAATGAAAGTTTTCAAGTAAGACAAAAAAAATTAAAATTGGAATGACATTTTTTATGATGGAATGAAAATTTGAAATTTAAAATGTAATTTTACTCTAGAATTATTATTTAATTCTAGAAAATTTTTCTGTTGTCATTTTAAATGAAAGGCTAGATATAAAATGAGTAGGGATTAACTTTATTTACTAAGCAAGGTCAACCTTTTTTAGCCTGAGTACAATTTTCTAGTGAGAATCACCACAATTAAGAATGACACTCTATTCGGCAATGTATTGGGGAATCTAACAAACTAAGTAGTATGGTTAAATCAAGCTCATTCGAAATAACAACCTATTAACAATGCAAAAAAAATTGGTAGGTCAAAGAGTGTGTATGGTCATACACTGCCACGTTCATCCTTCTTTACAGTGTAAAGAGGGACAATATTTTCGATAAGAAATGAAGACATGTAAGCTTAAAAGGGCATGAACATGGCCGTGCAAGTAATTAGGCTCTTCTTTTTTAATACCAGGAGCGCTCGTGGTTGATAATCGGGTGTAAGTCTGGTAGGTGCACTAGCATATGAATATGACTATACAATATATTAGGTTCATTTTTTTTTTAGCACCAGCAAAACAGCTAGACCGTAAGACAAGGCATGACGTCTTTGAGTCTACATGATAGCGATGCTCAAAGTTACAAAGATGAAGTCAGGGGAAGAAAAAAATGAGATGTTACTTAAACTTGTATCAGTTTGTCGGGAATTTTGATAAAAGAAGGTCGAGTGAGATCGCATGAGAGGTAATCCTCAATAAAAAGTAATAAAATTATAGATAAAACATCTGTATCCACAGTTTGGATGGGTCATCAAACATAGCCTTGATCATCCATTTCGCTAACAGGGCCAGATTTTGGGACCTGTGGTCCAGGACACCCAAACCCCATTCTCAGCGCGGCTGAGCAATGGCTTCCAAGACCACCTTAGTCATGTATCACTGATTTTTATTAGGTGTGGGTTTCCACAACTATCTAGCTGAGAACCGCTTAATATTCGTAAGGTCATATGCTATCGCACCCCCTTTCCAGTGGAGGGTGAGGCTAACCTGTAGGTCTTTTATTGTTTCATTATGTCTTACGTTGTCGAGTAAGACTTCAAGATGTAGAATAAATAGTAGTAACGATGCCAAAGGACAACCTTGGTGCAGAGAGCGTGACAACTGAAATTCTTCTGATAGGTGTCTATTTACCATCACCACTGAGGTCGCTTGTGCATACATGACCTTGATCCAGTTCTGGGCCAAAGCCCATTTTAGCCAGGGAGGTGGACACAAAGGCCCACCTGACTTTGTCATATACCTTTTTCATGTCCAACAACAACACGACCAGTTTCCTTTTTTCAGATCCAATTATTTATAGGACCTGGACTGTGGACAAAATATTTCCGAAGATAGAACAATCTTTGACAAAGACCCCTTGCCCCCGTCCTACCAACTTTGAAAGTACTGCAGCAAGACAAATAACCTAAACTTTAGCCAATATTTTATAGACGACATTTAAGACTGAAATTGGACGGTAATTTTGAACCTCCCTCTTCTCCCCCTTTTTATAAAAAAGAGATATGATGCCTTTCATGCACTCGTGGGGGAGGAGACCTGATGCCAAGGCATTGTTATAGCTCCGATAGAGGAAAGGTATGAAGGCTTCCCAAGTACAAAAAAAAATTACACTGAGAGTCCATCCATTCATGGAAACTTTCCCATGGTCATCCTTTTGACTGAAGTATGTATTTCTCTTTCTGTTACGGGGGTATCCAAGAAACCCCTAGTATTTGCGTCTATACAAACTCTTGTTTTAGCCCATCATTATGACCCGATTGAAAAATCCGAGTTGAACTGGTAAAAAAAATGTCTCGTGGTGGCAATGTCTCGAAAATAGTCCAGGGCGTATGAGCACATAGTCTGAATATCTGTTGCCGGCGTTGCTTGAAGGTCAAATGAATGTATTAGTTCCCTAACCAGCAGTTTTGTCTGGTTCAAAATGAAAGATCTAAAAGTCAACTTTATCATTCGGTCATATCTCCACAATACCCTGTATCTTGAACCAATCCAACCAATCTATATGTCTTTGTAGCTCTAAGGTCTCCATGAGGCATATTGTTTTTTTTCTCCACTCCCCCAAATAATACTCAGCGAAGGGATCTTGGTCCATCTGTGCCTCGACCTCTTCAATCGTACGGACGACCCGCAATTCCTTCCACCTCCTATTTGCGACCTTCATTCGGGGGAAGATAATCAAGCTCTCCCTGACTATTCCAATACCCGCTATATCCTACACATCTTCTGAGTCAAAGAGTTGCCTTGCTTCCATCCAAGCCGTCATTTGTTGTTTAACCCAATTTGAAATCCTTTTATCTTTAAGGTTATTTATATTCAACCGAAATAGGGGATGAACCTTTTGGATTAATTCCCTGGCCAACACATTATTGATGACAGGATAATGGTATGATAAATCTGACGCTTCAAAGTTTACGTCTGGGTTACACGACGTACATGTACGCGGGTTGCGAGTACACGTGTACTCGTATTCTTGTACACATCATGTACGCTCGTACACGTACTCCCGTACGTGGGAATACGTTAAAAAAAAAAAAAAAAACAATCATCGAAAACATCTGAAAAAAACTTTAAAAAGTATGTTATGCAAAATGATATTTCAAACAACTTTTGCTCGAGACTTATCGTAAAATTCGTTACCAAACTCGCTTGAAAAGTCAAAGAGACAAAAAGCAAATAAATTGAAATAAAAAGTAAAAAAACTAGAGAAAAAAATAAAAAATAAAATTAAACTTCTGTAACAAATATATGTTATGCAAAAACATGATACAAACAACTTTTGCACAGGAGTCATCCCCGAATTTCCGATCAAACTCGAGTAAGAAATTAAAAACTAAAAAAAAGGTAATATTATCATAGTAATTTAAAAACTATATTTTTTTTAATTATTACTATTTTGAAGTTTTCTTTAAGGTTTTTTATTTTTAAATCATGATTGGTTGGGAATTCAGGTATGACTCCCAGGGAAAAGTTGTTTGCATCATTATTCTGCAGAACATACTTCTTTGTATCAGATTTTTTTTTTTTTACGTACCGGGGGTTGGCCATGGCATATCGCCTTTACAATCGGAAAAGCCCCTTAACCGTCGGGCCAATGGGATCCGAAAACGTTTTTAGTGACCTAACGACGCGGACCAAACTTCTAAGGGGCTTTTCCGATTTATAGTTAAAAGCTCCAAGCGGGATCAGCCCCTAAGCCAAGTTGAGGTCAGGGCGGCTGGATGAAGTTCCCGGGAATCGGGCGAGTTCAGGTTGCTTTCTATTTGAATAATGGCATGGGGTATACACCCTTGAAGTTTGTCATACTCCGACGTCACAAAACAGTTCTCGGTATGACATCCGTGAAACGTGAAACGGATCCCAACAGTGTATGAATTGAACGTGGATGTGAATTGGGTCATATACAGTCGGGAGATGGGATCATACCGTCGCGAGTTAGTGATTCAATACATCCGCCAGCGGCCTAGCTCAGTTGGTTAGGCACGCAAGTGGCATTCAGGAGGTTGTGGGTTCAAGCCTCATTACCGCCTGAGTTGCACTTAGTGCCAATGGACTGTGATAGTCCTCTGGATACCCCTGATCTGTATTAGCGGGGTCTATGACCAACACGGGTGTGAGTGTGAGCGTGAGTGTGTGGTGTGTGGTGTGTGGGAGAGTGTTGGCCATAGCCTCTGCTGCTACTAGAGGAGGGGTGGGGGACGATGAGAAAGGGAGGAGCAGCTACTGGCAAAATGCTCAGTCTTTGCCTTAGCCGGACCCCCACCTGCGGCCCCACCCCATCTCTGACTACTGCTGTTGGGGCGGGGGGCAACATGAATTACCTCGTTTGCGAGGCCCTATGCTTGCAGGGGTCCCCTCTATATAGTCTTAGGAGTAGTGGTAGGAAAGGTAGTGAAAGACAAAAATACTTTGAGAGATGATAGTGAGAAAAAAAAAAAAAAAAAAGCTTTGGAAGGTCGTCAACGAACAGATCTCCGTGTCCCATGAGGGCCGAGGTCCCAGTGGCAAAGAGAATTGCAGTCAACGCCTGAATCTAGACGCACCGATAGACAGATGCAGATAAGCGAGACTAAGCTGCTTTTCGGCAAATTTTCTTCATACCCATCCCGATTCAGGGGCTCAATCCAACCCTCTTTCCTAGTGGGACCTAGCTCACCGAAGGTGCGACAGCGACATATAGTCAGATCTATCGAAAGCGAAAATATATGTAGACCTCTGGCTGAAGACGGTACGGTAGGATATTCCACGCTGAAGAGTGTTGCGGTAAGCTGCGAGCGGATTGCTCGTGCTCTCATCAGTCTCCGGAGTGCGGCAACCGGCTGCTTTTTGTCGTGGAGTGCCCGCTACATATCGCGTAAAGGCACTCGGGCTGCTATGACCGGCTGTAATTACGTTGATGTCATCACGAAGTCGTGCGTATACTGTTTGAAGACGGTCCATTAGGCTGTGACAAAGAAGGCATCTCCGGAGAGAGAGAGAGAGAGAGAGAGAGAGAGAGAGAGAGAGAGAGAGAGAGAGAGAGGTGAGCTATGGAGACTGCGAAGAAAATGATGCACTCGATTCCAAGTGTACGTCAGATGAGCTGGAAGAAGCTGGGGCTCATCGCTGCTGGTGTGGGACTGGCAGCTATGGCGTTGATGATGCTCACTGTCGTGACGTTGGTCGTTGGCACTCCCGTGTTAATCTTCGGAGGGATCGCCCTTCTGCTGGCCTCACCATGCCTCTGTTGCACTGCCCCGCTATGGCTACCCCCTCTTCTCTTCATCGGCATCCCTACGCTGATTTTCTTCGTCGTAACTGGAGGAATTGCAATGTTTCTTGCAGGTGCGTAGTGAATCATCATCATGATCATCATATCTTCATCATCATTCTGAAAGGCAAATTTACTCACGGCTAGGTGCTTCTTTCGAGATTCTAGAATGTATGCTTATCTAAGTCATCATGACTGGATAACAGTGGATATTATGCATGAATATCCCGTGAGGACTTCTTTCTGTGGATCTCTCTGAACTTCACGAGGTCTCCCTTCTTTCAGCTCATTGAATGTCACCTTTCTCCGTGCAGATGACCTAAACGATGGCGACTTTAAAGCGAAACGGATACGTGAGTGGAGTCTTCAGGAAATTTCAAGCGTGAGTGAAAATTAAGAGGGCCATCACGCAGCAAATGAGGCTCTCTTTGCATGGGCGCTTATCTCTGAGCCCTTGTGAACTACGCGCAGACGCATGCACACACACACACACACACACATCATCACGCACACACACACACACATCATCGAGCACACAGACACACACACGCAGAGAGAGAGAGAGAGAGAGAGAGAGAGAGAGAGAGAGAGAGAGAGAGAGAGAGAGAGAGAGAGAGAGAGAGAGAGAGAGAGA